CTGCTAGTGTTTCCAGATTATGACCTTTCAGTGTGATAACACTATAAAGTTGCCATTCTATGGCCATATAATTGACAGACTTTATCTTCATTTGCATGCCCATCACAAACAAACTAAACTGCACTTTGTAGCCAAAGCTACATTGTCAAGGTGTTAACATGTTAATTATCCACATGATGTACATTCTGGCTATGGCATGACCAGTAATTATATAGCAGTTTTGTAATTATTTGTGAGCTGGACTCCAAGGCCAATTCTTGAAGTTCTATATATCCTTTTATACTTTTCAGAAAGTTTGGTTTTGATAAATTCTGAGTTATAACGACTTTTGGGAATAAGCCCATCTGCACACGACAAAATTGCATTCTCATTTTTTTTTTAACAGAATGGACAATATACCCAATAAGATGGTATCTATTCATGTTTAGCCACCAAATAAATATCATACTATTACATTGATCTAGTAAAAAGCTTTTTGATTCTTTGGACTAGTAGGTGATGTATTATCAGTAAATATAATGGTTTACAACTACAGACTGATTAAATAACACTACTTAATAATACTCGTCAAGATTCAAGATGCACCATATACAATGGTTGTTGTGAATAATGAACTGAACCTAAAAAAATGATAACCTGAGACTACCTGAGAAAAAGTTCATTTACATACAAAGTACAGCTATAAAACTCAATCATCCTGTTCACAAACACAGGTCAAAAGTTCAATCCCACACAGGTATGACAATAAAATATTACAGGTATATCAGTCATTTCTACATTTCACTTATAATTGGTTTGTTACAATGTTTTGCTATTTATTGATATCTCTCCCATGCCCTTCCTTAAAGCATTGATTCCTATCTAGCCCTCTCCTCCAATAAGTAATTGATATCTACATTTGTATATGGTTTTGTGATTTTATGCTTGTGCTGTTGTATAATTTCCCATTTCTGTTTTGCTCTGTTTTATACTTACACTATATTAGTACTGTCAGATGATTTGAAAATAAATACACACTGTATTGCATGTTATCTGTCGTCAGCCTGCCCTTATGTGACCCCAGCTGTTGAAAGGAAATCAAACACCATGAAAACAATACCTGTCAAAGTTTTATGATAATTTTTATGAAAACAATGCTATTTGAGTCATGATCACATCTTATACATTTTTGACGTTTGCGTGTAGGAGGGACGTCTCAAGAAGAACACTGATGTTCATTGATGAAACAATGCCTTAAGCAATATGAAGAGTCACAGAGACAGAAAACCTATAACCAACCAACAATCAAACGTGCTATGGGTAATGCTCATACTGAGGTGACTATACCATCATGGCTACATCACCTAATAAAACTGAGTGATGAAAAGTTTTAATCAGCATTTCTCTCTATAGTGAAGCTCAACTACTGTAACAAAGTGTCCATAACACTTTAACAGCTTAATGGTAGCTTGTGTGTCATTTAAATAGGAAAGTTTCAGACACATAGCTACATATGTATGTCACATGATGGCAAAGAGCCAGACAAGATTGTATTCTTCACTGTAACCAAAACAAATATATAACCAGGGTCCATGACCTCAGTTTCATAATAAAACATGACAGTGATCACATGGAATTCATCAACTAAGAGTTACTGTTTTTATAATCATTCCCTGAGACCTAGTTATAACTTGGCACTTTGCTTGCATGTCAAATATTCAGGCTTACTCATCAATTTCCTTATAAAATTCAAATACATGCTGTTGGTGTAAAACCTAAATATATATATATAGAAGCCACAAAGTAAGGCATTATCCCTCGCACCATGCTGTTGGAATAAAACCCAAATGTATATATGTATATATATAGGAGCCACAAAGTGTGGCATTATCCCCCGCACCATGCTGTTGGTGTAAAACCCAAATATATATATATATATATATATATAGGAGCCACAAAGTGTGGCATTATCCCCCGCACCATGCTGTTGGTGTAAAACCCAAATATATATATACTAGTATAACAATTTGTGATGTCATTCAATCATGTACCGCTACTATCACCTGAAGATCTAACACAGTAAAATGACCAGTACAAAATGTAACATCTTCTTTTGTCAATTATCAATTACATTTTTTTTGCATCATTTTATACATGTATATATATTTATCTTATTTACCAACCTTACAGTAAGTGTTTATATTCTGATGTAGATCCTGTGTGTTTGAGTGCTTATATTTGAATAGAGCTTGGTATTGTCCATGAACAAGTTTATGCAACACCCAATAAGCTCAGGAGTATTACAAGAAGTCACAAGAATTAAAAAAAAATTGATAGTAGCAGAAAAATATAAATAGTAAAATTTCCTCAATAAAAAAAAGGCACAACTAGGGCATGAACCCAATATATACAGTTGAGTGGAATGCTTTCGAAGTTGTAACCTGGAAAGGAAAGTTAACACAATTTTGTGTTTTTTGACAATGTTTCCATGGTAACACAAAAGATTTTAACAATGAAATGTTGCCAATAGAAAATGACACCACTAGGGTACTAATATATGGAAAAATGTTTGAAGAGTTGAGTGGAACAATTTTTAAGTTGTAGTCTGGAAAGGAAAGTAAACACTAATTTTGTGATTTTTGACTATGTGTCCATGGTAACAGAAAAGATATCAAAATGAAATGTCGTCAGTAGCAAAAGGCACAAATAGGGCACTAACAAAATATATTCAGAAAGATTTGTTGATTTGAATGGGATGGTTTTGAAGCTGAAGCCTGGAAAGGCAAGTAAACACTAATTTTGTGAGTTTTGACTATGTTTCCATGGTAACACAAAAAAAATATTAAAAAAAATGAAATGTCATCAACAGCAACTAGGGTACTAACAAATTACATACAGAAAGTTCTACACTACATACATACATTCCATGTATTCTGTTGTGATTTGCAGTCAAATAGAAATGTGATACATTACAAAACTTAAGCTTACATGCTGGTAGACACCATCAACAAGATATAAACATACACAGCTGTGTAAAGGTGTGTAGCATGTGTACACCAAAACATTTCTATTCCATTTTATGTACCACAATAAATGGGTAACTGTCATCCAAACATATCACATTTATTGATAAAATTATCAACTCTTGTATAGACAATCATTTATACAATAAGTGGTATATACCGTTTAAAAGTTTTGATTATCCAACACAGTGAACATCGCCTGGATGGGCCTGCCGCCTTCCACACACCATTTTATGATTTGAAACAAATAATAATATCCATATATATATGAATATGCACTAATGGTCAGATATTTGATTCCTGGATTCATGAGGGGACTCACCAAAATTTTGGAAATGGTTTTCTGGACTCACTTGAAAAAATAATACAAGATTTGTTGAATTGTTACTTTTGCCTATCAATTAACAGCATTTACGCACAGGTGATATCGTAATATACTCACTAATATTAGAAAGAGCCAATGACATATTAGCGGGTTGCAAGTTCCATTACTCTTCAGCTGGATACTTGGGAGTGTGCAGGGTGATTGAGCACCAGGCAATATCATGTCAGAAATTTCATTAGCATCAGAGTAGGTACATTAATTTCTTTAGTACTGTCTACTAGTTTCGCTCTTTCCGGGCTTCATCAGGATGACAAATACAAATTATTTGTGACCTACAATACCTGAAATACAGTACCCTATTCCATAAATAGTGGACATAGTATTGTGACATGTCATGTTTGCAATGAGACATCACAAATAAATCTGTATTTAATTACCACACAGAATAATGTAGTAACAGGTAACCATGGTGATTTATATTGTTAACTGATGTTAAAAGTCTAAGTCTCAATTTCATTCACTGGAGTCTAACATGAAGATATTCATATTTATTGGGAGGTTTGTAATTAATTTTGTCAATTAGTGAATGATATCGCTTATTTTTTCATTCTTGGGAAAAATATTTTATTACCAATTAGAAAGGAATAATCAGAGCAATATAAGACAACTTAAGGGGGCCTAATTTTCCACCCCAGCAAGTCCTCAAAAAAACTGTGGTTTTCATGTGTTGACAATTTTTGTATTTGATGGTGTTGCTGTTGTTATTCCTTGACATTTACGCTTTATTCCCTTGGCTTCTTCATTTTTATGCGATATGTTATTTTCTGCTTTCACACACTTTTATCATGCCTGTGGAGATAAAAATGTCTATGAATGTTCTTACAGGACAAAAGACAAAGTTTGCTCCAGGACACTGATAAGAAAATGTCAACTTTTGATTAACTTGCTTCAGTACTCACTGGTAGGCACGTACATTGAGCGCACGTGCTGATATTCAGGTACATGTAAATGTGAATTCAACTTTACAGTCGCTATATATATACATGTAAGCCAAATGTAGAGCTGTATAGGGTGTAAACACATGAGTCATTCGTGCTGATGCCGAATACAAAGTGTCACACAAGACATTTGAAATCCATCTTTACACACACAAAAACAACAACAAAAACCGATGACATAAAATATAAAAAGGAAAAATAAAATCAACATTTACCATGTAGTCTGGTTTTTAAAATCAATCAAAAAATATATTTATATTTTTTTAAATGGTGAATATTGATGAATTGGTGTTGTTCTTGGGGAACGGAACTACATCGGCGGCTGAATAATGTAAACACCTTTAGTTGGTCTTCCATACATGATACACATCGAAAACATCTGACGCTGAAAATATGTAACGACTGTAGACTGTTTAGCTAATATTAAACCATCAGACTACTCATAAAACATGTCACTTTTCAACAGACGACTTTTGATCATGAGGTGAATACGAGTCATTGCAGAACTTGGAATATTGATTTATACATCATGAAGCATATATGAAAGCAACGTCAAAACAATGAAAGCAGTCATGACCGACTTTCGATGGCAATTATTACTCCTAATCTCGCACCTGCACTTCCTACAAATTAACGAGAATTATTCTTATGTGAAGTTAAGAATGAAGTTCATACCGTGAAGGTCCTCTGACGCATCAGCTCGATGTGTTGAAGCCATCAATTAATGTTCTCTGTCTGCTTAAGAGATTTGGCGCAGTTATTTCTCGGCTGTCACGATACTTTGTTGATATTTTGCTTATTTACCTGCTACGTCATCAAATGTTGGTCACATGCTCAGCCGTAGCGCCATCATGTCAATATTAATAGAAGGGCGACTACTCGGGTTTGAACTGCAGCAGTCCATTAAGAATAAAAGCTGGGGCTGTTTTAACAGTTTTATTGGCTTTTAGCCTTCGGAGAAACAACACAAACAGTTTTAAATATATCATAATACAACAGTGAGTGATCACAGTGATATAGATGCACTATGGCGGATGAAAACAAGAGTTACATTGACATTTGATCTAAACTTAGAATCAACACTAACAATTTTGATAGATTTTTTTTTCTAATTTTCAACAGAGAGGAGATTATGTAGTTTGAACATGCAATTCGTCTTCAATACTTTTTGAGATATTATTTCATTTCTTGCTGTCACTTTCATAACTATCCCTTTCTATACAAAGATGATGTAAAGATAACCTAAATTTTGCAATTAGTGAAATATATGACAGTGGTCAATATTTCAAAGTACTGAAGGCAATTGAACGTCTGGTATAAAACTAAACAAAAACATGAGAGTTTCAAAATTAATATTTAAAGTTTGTAGAAAGGGACCAAAACCTAGAGACATTTGAATCAGATACAAATAACATGCCTGTGGGGTAGGTGTGTGTGTGTGTGAGAGAGAGAGAGAGAGAGAGAGAGAGAGAGAGAGAGAGAGAGAGAGAGAGAGAGAGAGAGAGAGAGAGAGTTAAATAACTATTAGATTATTTTTGCAAAAATACATATTATTATCTTCGCTTAATATCGGATCTCCATATATGGGTAAATGTAAAGTTAAAACATCACGGAATTATGTAAATGACGTATGCTTCATTTACGTAAACCTCATACCTTAAAGCATTCTTTATATATCATTTCTGTCTTACTGATAATTGATTTAAATGATTTGAGAGTAGGAGAGTTCCTATACAAATATATAATTTCACATTTTTTTTAGACGACGGGGGAAAAAATTCAACATTCAAAGGAGATACAATGAATTTTTTAAACTTTATTTTTATTTATTTATTTATTTATTTTTTTTTTTTTTGTAAAATATAATTGATATATGTTAACATTTCATTTTACATAGCAAACAATCATCGAATTAATTATTTAATATTCAAACGCTCCCGTTTGAAACAAAAAAGAAAAATACCTACCTTGTGACTTCCCTTCAATTAAAAAATTTTAAAAAAACATGTCCACAGGAACATTCGATCCCACAAGCTTTGGAACAGAGATCTTACCTCTGTGCTACCGTCACGTTATTGATTCCAAACACATTAATTGTAGAGTTTAAAATGTCAATGTTTCTTCCATAAAAGATAATCGATCGCTGTATGTCTTACACTTAGCATTTGTGCTAATACAATTTATATCAGTTTGGTTGGAGTTTAGATCAGTTTGGTTGGAGTTAAGATCAGATTGGTTGAAGTTTAGATAAGTTTGGTTGGAGATTAGATCAGTTTGGTTGGGGTTTAGACCAGTTTGTTTGGAGTTTAGATCAGTTTGGTTGGGGTTTAGACCAGTTTGGCTGAAGTTTAGATCAGTTTGGTTGGAGTTTAGAACATCTCGTATTTTATCTACTGACCACAATTCCACTTGTAAACTGTATGTTTCACATTCACCACTAGACCTGCCGTCCTGTATATAAATTTGTTCACAGTGAACAGCAAAATAAATAGAACCATGATCAGACCATGTGTTAAAATCACAGACTTTATTTCAAGCATTTAGGTTCTTGTATCATCGACAACGGTCTTGTCGAAAAAACGTGTTTTGATCTTGTAAACAGAAGGGAAATCTTAGACGACCAGTAATATCATCTATTTTCTGCCGTTACGTACCGTTTTAAGTCCCATCCGCCGGTATGTAGTTAGTAGATAGTGGTTAGATCGGTGTAGGTGTAATTATAATTGACTCTTTTTTTGTTGTTGTCCCGTCTTCAAACCTTTCCTATCCTATTGACCAAGCTACTTTATCACTTTACTAATGTCTATTACTTTCTGTGATTCCACTCCATTCCTTCTGCATACGTCTGTTCACTATACCGACTTTTATAAATATGTATGTGATTTGTGAGAATGGGCTGATTTAGAAGTGTTATGACGGGTTTCAGTAAGATAAGTTATGTAACAAAATGAGTAAAAAATGGGTTTAATGGTAATTTTGGAATGGTGTTTATCGTAGAGAGCAGCATCTTAGTTTAAAGTACATCAGGTCAAAAGTCAGTTAATCCCGTGAGTGATAGATAGTGATGCACGCCTCATAACGGGCGGGGTGTGTACCCAAGTGGTGAAGCACCGTGGCAGAATATCGCCAGTATGATTGATCAGGACAGATAGATGCTCTCTTGTATGCCTCGCGCTGGCGAACACATTTGTAAGTAAACAAGATAAGAAACAATGTATAAGGTAGATCAAAGATAGGAAGTTGATAACGGGTACTCCTAGTCGCACGTGCCTTCATAATTAGATGCTCCGGGGGCTGGGTTATTATTGTCCAATTGGGACTAGGCTTAAATTAAGTATTTGGGTATTATTTATACAAAGATAATAGCCAGCAGAAGTGTAGTCGAGTCTGGGATCGAGTAGCTAGAGAGAGTTGGGAGTCGGACGTGGAGACGGGCAGGGTCCCGTAGGGGACCTGCTCCGCGATGGAGCGGGTCCTGGCCAAGTTGGCCCATGAACATTTGTATGGAACTCTTTGATATGGACGGGCAGGTTTTTAGTTTTTGTCTGCCTTACACAGGTGGTTAGTTTTGGTGCCACGACATGATGCTGTATGTTGATTAGGAACTATCTTTTGTAATGGATACTAACGCGAAGTACTAACTATGGAAAACCACTATACGATGAAATAAACGTTTCGGTCAACCCAAGTAAACACTGTGTTTAGTCATTGTGTTACAGTTACGTTGAAGTAGAAAGTGTTATAGGCTAAGATTACATATACATGTTTTGGATTTTCATTCTTTTGAAGTCAGCAGTGAGATTTTTTCCTTTCTGATCTATTGTAATATAGAAAAATTATGATCTACTGTCTCTTCTGTTTTACAATGCATACAGTCTGTTGAGATATCTTTGACCGATATACCGACATTATGTTTTATTTTCGTGGTTCCTAATTTTCGTCTTGTGATGATTGTATCCGTTAATTTATTTCGTCCTAAAGTTTTTTGTTTAATATCCGGCTTATCTATAATTTGCCTTAAGTCGTTTGATCTTTCCGAATTTGTCCATGTTTCTGACCATCTATTACTGATTGGGGATTGATAATAGAACATATTTCTGTCTTGGATAGTTTCATCTTACATACTTTTGTATTTTTCTGAATAACGTTTTTGGCTAGATCATTTCCAGGTATATTGACAAGTGATGGTACCCTTTTTCTAGTCTGTATTAATTGTGAGGAAGACTATCTGTAAGATTTACTGCTCTTTTTGTGGACTTTTTGACGTTAATAAGTCTAAGTGCTAATTCTATAACAATGATTTCACTGGTATAAACGGAGCACTGATCGGTCAGTCTGAGTGATAATGTGATGGGGTTTTCCCCGGAATAAATACCTGTATTCTATTTGTGGAATTTTTGACTTGTCAGTATAACATTTTCTATGATTATTTATATTTCTCGTCAGTTATTGATAATGTTATTGCCCTAGTTTCTGTTGGATTTTCCTTTTTGCTGGTTTTGTCTAATATTTCTGTACAAATATCGGGAGAGTCAAACTTTCAGGCCTGAGTTGGAATTGGAAAAACAATCTTCAAATTTAATTTTGTCTAAATTGTGTTCAACGAGAAGTTTGGTTTGTTACAAAGTTTTAAGGCGATATAGCATGCTGTTTTAGTTTGTCTCTGTTTTTTGTGTCTTTGACTTGTGAAACGATTTTATTTGGCGGGAAATCAGATCTTAGTGTTTGTGTTCTGGCCCAATATTGAAGTATAATCTGTGTCCGCCTTAATTTTAATGGCAGTTCACCGGATTCATCTTAAATGTTTATTGATGTGTTTTTTAATGTCTAATGCTATTTTATCTCTTCTCTCGAAGATCATACCTTAGTATCCCGTTTCTTTCACAAATTGAATTTCTTTCCGAATAAACGTCATGAAGAACGCTACTTATGGTTACGTTCAACACGGTTGAATGACCGCTGCTGCCCAATAGTGCATCCCGGTTAGAATGTCTGACCCTTACGTTTGGATTTTCTGTCCAAAATTTTGTACAAATACACACTATATGAACGCACATCTTTTCAGAGAAATGTCGTCTATAGCATTGAGTGTATGTATTTAACATGTTCTGCTGTTTTCGTGTGATAGATGCAAGTGAAAATGGCTAAAAAGTACAAATAAAATAAAAACAACTGAAGACTGGTTTACAGTCTGTCTCATTACTAGTACAACTGCGCCGTTAGGCAATAATTTGGTAACTCGTGTTACATGTACGCTGTCATAGGTAACTCGTGTTACATGTAGGCTGCTATAGGTATCTCATGTTACATGTAGGCTGTTATAAGTAACTCATGTTACATGTAGGCTGTCATAGGTAACTCGTGTTACATGCAGGCTGTTATAGGCAACTCATGTTACATGTAGGCTGTTAAAGGTAACTCGTGTTACATGTAGTCTGTCATAGATAACTCATGTTACATGTAGGCTGTCATAGGTAACTCGTGTTACATGTAGGATGTTATAGGTAACTCGTGTTACATGTAGGCTGTCATAGGTAACTCGTGTTACATGCAGGCTGTTATAGGTAACTCATGTTACATGTAGGCTGTTAAAGGTAACTCGTGTTACATGTAGTCTGTCATAGGTAACTCATGTTACATGTAGGCTGTCATAGGTAACTCGTGTTACATGTAGGCTGTCATAGGTAACTCGTGTTACATGTAGGATGTTATAGGTAACTCGTGTTACATGTAGGCTGTTATAGGTAACTCGTGTTACATGTAGGCTGTCATAGGTAACTCGTGTTACATGTAGGATGTCATAGGTAACTCGTGTTACATGTAGGCTGTTATAGGTAACTCGTGTTACATGTAGGCTGTTATAGGTAACTCATGTTACATGTAGGCTGTTATAGGTAACTCGTGTTACATGTAGGCTGTTATAGGTAACTCGTGTTACATGTCGGCTGTTATAGGTAACTCGTGTTACATGTAGGCTGTTAAAGGTAACTCGTGTTACATGTAGGCTGTTATTGGTAACTCGTGCTACATGTAGGCTGTCATAGGTAACTCGTGTTACATGCAGGCTGTCATAGGTAACTCGTGTTACATGTAGGATGTTATAGGTAACTCGTGTTACATGTAGGCTGTTAAAAGTAACTCGTGTTACATGTAGGCTGTCATAGGTAACTCGTGTTACATGTAGGCTGTCATAGGTAACTCGTCTTACATGCAGACTGTTATAGGTGACTCGTGTTACATGTAGGCTGTTAAAGGTGACTCGTGTTACATGTAGGCTGTTACAGGTAACTCATGTTACATGTAGGCTGCCATAGGTAACTCATGTTACATGTAGGCTGCCATAGGTAACTCGTGTTACATGTAGGCTGTTATAGGTAACTCGTGTTACATGTAGGCTGTTATAGGTAACTCGTGTTACATGTAGGCTGTTATAGGTAACTCGTGTTACATGTAGGCTGTTAAAGGTAACTCATGTTACATGCAGACTGTTATAGGTAACTCGTGTTACATGTAGGCTGTTAAAGGTGACTCGTGTTACATGTAGGCTGTTATAGGTAACTCATGTTACATGTAGGCTGCCATAGGTAACTCATGTTACATGTAGGCTGCCATAGGTAACTCGTGTTACATGTAGGCTGTTATAGGTAACTCGTGTTACATGCAGGCTGTTATAGGTAACTCGTGTTACATGTAGGCTTTTATAGGTAACTCGTGTTACATGTAGGCTGTTATAGCTTCTATGGGGGAGAAAAAGGATGACGAACTAATCAGTCATTAGGCACGAGCCTACGCTAGACACACAAGTATGATTGATTGGACGACAGAACGATGAAGCGTAGGAAGATATGTATTTTAAGACATTTAGCCCGGTATCTTACGACTTAAGTTCCATCTTTATGTTATAACATTTACTACATAAGAAACTCCAGTTCCTGTTTCAACTATGTCTCTTTACATTGTAATTATGTAATTTTTTCACTAAAGACGCTGTTTCGCGGGAAGAAAGTAAAGAAATGGACATCATTTCAATTAGACTTTCTGCCATAGATAACATCTTGCCATCTTGTTGCATGATTAGTTAAATTGAGACAATGACAATATTCAATGGGACGAAACCAACGGCGGTGAATTGTGTTTAATGCATATTTAGGAAAGTGACAATGAATTCTATTAAATGTCAAACTCCAAACAAGAATAGTCCTAATCATTCTAACATTCGATGCATCAATGAACATACCAATATAAAGAAAGTCAACTTTTAAATTAAGACTTATTAAGACAAGAAAAATATATATATATAATTATATATACCGAAGGACAGGTAAACCATGCATTCATAAATCAAACGACTATATTGTATTACGTTATGATTTTATAGTGTGCAGACTCTACTTCAAGGAAATAAAATAAATCTGAAAAGAAAAAATAAACATTTATTAATTAAAAGCAATTGTTTTTTATGGGTTACTTGTTATCAATTAAACAATAACATGCATGACGTCATTAAGTCATCTTAGTCTATTTGTAACTTCGAAGTTGGAGATGGTCAGTCTCTGTCCAAATGTTTACCTCATATACTAGATATGGAATGGACACAATGGATATTGAGGTGTTTTCAGTGATACTATAGATAATGTTGAGGGTCATGTACCAAGGTGTTTATCGAGACCTTATAGTAGTAAATAGACAAGCACATAACGTTCTCGTCCTGATGAAAATGACGTTGTCAATCGCTTGGAAATGTTTGACGTTAACAATTTATTGTGTATTCCGGAGTCCGAGCGAGGATATGCCTTCATCATTTCACTGCAAGAGAGATTGCAAAAGTATGTCCAACAGGAACTGATTTACTATGGGTAAGTAGAATTACAGGTAGTGTGCTTAGTATGTATTTAGTTCCGCTGACATTTGGTTCTATAAGATCTCGCGAGAGTTTGATCATGTACGATTGTTTTCTGTCTTGTTATTTTCTTAATTTAATCCAAGATTCATGGACTTCTGTACTTTTAATCTAAGCAATATGTGCGAAGATCCCTGTCATTTCCAATCTTGACCCCTAAATAAAAAATGTCCGAAACAGACTATTTTACTAAAGAAATTGTGTATGAAAAGATTATAAATTCATTTGCCGCATAAGTTTTATTTTAACAACCAATAAATATGTAGACACATTTGCGTGTCTCGCTTTCAATTCCATATTTATATCTAGTATCCTGTTGTAACCTAAACTTTACGTACCATTATGTGAAGGATATTTGACTGGACATCTTATGGTAAGTGTTTCACTGTCAGATAACAGTTCACTACGCCATATAGCGGAACTACTTTGATCGTTGAGCAGATACCGAAAGCCTTCAATGTACCTGCAAACACTGGCCGTAAGCCATAAAATACGACATAGCTTAGCACTCGCTAGAGAAGAAATGGGTGTCGCCTTTGAAACTTTTGTATTTCGAAGAAGATCCTTATGGAAGTCATCCGGATATTTAACCGTGTGAAGGAAAGGACTAATTTCTCCGAGAAATCAAAGGTCATGATGTTGTTCAGCCTCGGACTGGAGTTTTCTGTGGTGTTGGGCAAGGAAGCGCCTCGATCGGGATGACAAGTGCTGGGAGAGGAATTTCTGTCATCGATTTTAAGAGGAAAATAGTGTGCTCTCCCCAATATGTTTCTAGATATAGACATCTATCAACTATCTGTATTCAGTGCGTGTCTTAGACTTCTTACATAAAAAAGACGCATAAGTGAATAGCACTTTTCAATATATATATATTCAGAACTAGATTTATTTTATCAAAATAATGAATGAATTTAAAAGCTTTTTACTAGTCCCCACTAGAAAAGCGATCTATTCAATCAGAAAAATTTCGCTTGAAAATACATCGCTTATGTAATTTTAATCCGATTGATGAATGGCGTATGCGTTTTTAGACAGTCATGAGGTGAAAACAACATTGGGTTCCTAGACATACCCCATGGATCGCGTTAATATATCATCTCTACAGCGACCACACTTTTTATTGTAGATCAAACCTATCTTCCAATCGAGACACAGTTTTTTGTTATATATTCGGCGTACATACATTTCCAAGGGGAGATAACGTAGGTTTGAGAGTGATATCATCAGGCACACTTTATGTGGTAATGCCCGGATATTGGGAACATTTTTTTCTCTCTCGCATTGTTTTCATATTTGTTATTTAGATCAGTTCGAAAATCTGTCTACATCAAATACTTGTTGTTTGTCATTATGTATCCGGGGATCTTGGGATGGGATGGGAAGGCGATGGTGTAGCCCATGTCCGTCCGTCTTTCGATCCGTCTGTCCGTGTCCCGTTCCGTTATGTCGCTTCGCCTTCCATATGATATCAATATCATAGCGTGAAGATTTCAATACATTTGGTTCATATTTATCCCCAGACTGTCATACAAATTTTATATCTCTTCATATTAAGGTAGCAAAGGTTAAAGGGTTAAAGGTTGAAAGGTCACATTTGATAATCTCTGCAAAGTCCGATGAAACGATGATACTTAAGGGAAATCCGTATGAAGTAGGCTATATGTAAAACACTAGTGGAGTACTATTAAGTTTTTCGTAGACACTCAAAGTTGTTTAAAAATTGTAAATCAGATTTAACTTAAACAAGACCTGGACAGTGTTGTACATGTAGGACGGACGAAAAATAACACTGAGTCAATCATAAATACGTGGAGAAAAAAATCAATCTTTGTATCAAAGGAAAATTAGTTAAAGACATAATGTATCGATACTGAAAAGCACTCGACAATTTGTACTATACGTGTTACTGTTAACGAAAAGAAGTTTCCAAACATGATGTAAGCGTCATACCAGTGTCATATAAAATCCAAGTTTTATCTGCAACTGGAAGAATATGGTTATTCATATCTGCTATAGCCCAGTGTATGTCAAGAGTAAAGGCAACATAAACCCTATACAATGTAAGTGTCAATCGGGTAGTACCAAGCAAACCAAAATTTAAAGAAAATCTGACGTTGCTTTATGCCCCTCGGACTCCATCCGGATCATTTCTTCGTTTCCGGATCCTTTAAAATATTTTTTACAAATAACCGGAAGTTTGTTTACATATGGCGGCGGTATTTAGAAATCATGGTTGTGTTGTTATCAAACGGTAACATGATGCTCAAATACAGCAATCATACCAAGGATAGAGGCAATGGATAAAAAGAACATAGACCGAGCCGGAGGGTGCAAAGGGAGTTTTGTGTTGCAGTCCGCAAATAAGAAAATGATTGTTGAAAAAAACGACCGACTCGGACCAACTGGCAGGTCTCCGACTCCGGGTACCGCACCAAAACATTCAGTGTTAAAAGAACTAAATGCAGAGTTATCCATACGTGCTGGACGTATGAGACTTCTTGCTCGAGCAGAAGAGGGGCTAGTACAAGCATCCGAAAGTTTTAACCCAAACTCCACGAAAACTATCCTTCCAAAAACCGGAATTACTGCAGACGATAAAAGGTAATGTGCCCAAACACGTTTTTATCTTTACAAAATCCCGTACTTCGCATGCACTTACCAGTTCATCATTAAATCTGCAGAATTTCATGTGTAGATAACTTCTTTCTTAATTTCTAAGATTATTACTTGAGATAGTTGGTTAAGATATTCTGTAATAAGGACATAAATTACTGTTTGATTTCAAGTCAACAGCATTTTCAAGCTGATGTACAAGGTACATTTGATCAAAGTGTTGTTAGGTTGAAATAAAAAAAAATATTGTCATCACCCACATGTGCATATTACTAATTAAGCTTTTTTTTAATGATTACGTTGTACTAGAAATTTAAAATTGTGCAAGTGCATCCACAGATCTCTGTTGACATTTTTTTGTATATTTCTCACCTGAGATTAATAAGGTTTTTGAAATTGTGAATAATAAAGGTGTTTAGTGAAAAACAACTTCAGTGCTCTGATTGATGAAAACTCCAAAAGTGATATCATCATACAAGAAATTTGTGATCTTTAGATCTGGTTTCCTATATTTCTCTAGTTAGTAACACTTTTTTGAATTTCATTTTGTGGCTATACATAAATATATATTTATCCAGCAAGTGGTACTATCATTATCAGAATACACCAGCCACATATATTTTTGCTGTATTCAGCGGTTAAGGAAAACAGATGCATGTGCGGTAATTTCACAGAATTACTTCCTGAATTTACTTAAATATTGCATTTAGAAATATAAATAGTTGTTGAAATAAGGAATATTACATATACATGTTGTCATAAACATGTTGATGTATGAAAATTCATAAAATCACTGTTATATCAGATGAAATTTGAAATTGTATTTCTGTATGGAGCAATTGCTTTGGCATCCCTAATCAGGCACAATTTAGTGTAATATCAACATTAGGTTAACTCAGATTGAATGACAAAATGGTCAACTTCCAATATTCTGATTTTCAATCAATGTTGCAGGATAAATAGAATATATTGTCAATGTCTTATAATCCATATTTTGGCAAGGGTGAAGAAAGCCATATGTGGTGAGCTACTTTTAAGACACTGACCATGTATTCTGTATGTACATGTATGTAAGATTTACATTGTGGAAAAATGAGGTATAGCTATCTTGATTTATTAAGTGTTGTTTTTCTCCAACAGAGGTGATGTCTGGCCAAGTGAAAATAAAACAAAGGATAGCCCACCAAAACAATCTTCCAAAATACCTGTATCTGGTGCTAGACAACGTAGACGGGATAAAATGTCAAACTTTGCAAAACCAGCAGCTGCTGTGAGGTCAAAGGTCAAGTCCTATCGACCAGGCTACACCTGGGATAGAGGTGGGAGATTAAAAGAAATCAGGATAAGGTGAATTTGTTATTTTGTTTATTTATCTTGCAATAAGTCCATGTCTAGAAATAAGCCCACCCATATCTATAACAGTTTAGTAGAATTACTAGAACTGCTTGGATATTCAATGCCTTGTAATCAGTCCATTGGTCCCTAAATAATTTTGAGTCAGTTTAATGTATGGGTGATAGTTACAAATGTAAATAACAAAGTGTAATTTGCATTTTAAACTGTTATAAAAATGAAGAATTTTGGAAATATTTTCATGATTTATATGGTAAAGACTAACATGTTTACTTTGTTATTTATATTTGAGTGCAATACATTGAAATGTAAATTTAACACAAAGAAAATTCAACAGTTGAAGATTTATTGCTGTCAGTTTCTACATTAGTTAATCTTTTAGATACAAAATGTAAACATGGTATTAATTTTATCACACATTATATTTTGTTGAGTTTTTTCAGATGCTTAGCTAGAAAATTTTCATCTATTTGGAAGAAGAACACCTTTGGAAGAATCATGCCATCAGTTGCAAGGTTAGTATCAGAAAAAAAATTCTTGAAATTAAACACACATTTTGTAAAATAAAAATCTCTAAGTTTTATTCAGGATCACTTACTATAAGTTAAAATGATTTGTATCTTTCTAGAGCACACTATCATAGAAAGCTGATACTGGCAGCCTTTAAGGACTGGTACGACATGTGGTGGGTTGTCCGTAAGGAGTGGCGTCTTCTTGTCCGGGCTGAATGCCATTATAGGTAAGTCATGTGGTCTGAGACTGCAACAGATATTTACCATCTGTGCAAAAATATAATGTTCATACATATTTCACAACAAATATAAAAAAGAAATGCCTAATGATGGTTATTTACAAACTGAAAAATGAAGTCTGATGTATGAATAAATCTTGAAACCAAAACATTTCACAGTACCCTATTGATTAGGTAGAAGGTATTGATTTATCTGCTCTAGCTAAGGCATGGTCAAAACATCTTCCACCTATATTTTATAAGTGTTCCTGTATCCATGCTCAGAAGTCTGATAGCCCTGGTACAGAGATCAGTGGAATGTTTCATCTCCATGTAATAAAGACAGAGTAACACCAAACAAAATTAATGTTTTATAGGTTTAGCACAGGGCTTTGCCACTTGTTAAATTTGAAAAAATACTATTATTTTCTTTCATACTTTCCAGTTGCAATATTTCGTAAATGTTGTGAAGTTCTTGACCTCGCCATAAAAGGCCAGTAAGATATAGTGGTATATTGAAGCTGTCTTTGTATAAGGGAAAACAGATTTTGATCTTTCCCTAACAAAAGTAGAATACATTTTTGAAGCATGAGAGGAAAAATACTGAAGCCTATCAAAACACTTGTATCAATATGTTATACAAGATAACATTTTTTTTTTCTTTCCAGATACACATTATACTCAAGAACTGTTCAGGCATGGAAACGCTTTGTCATCTTGCAGAAAGTCAAATCAGGTCGACTAGCAATGTCTCACAGACACTGTAAGTGTTAAGTGTTTTTGTTCTATTAACAAACTGTCTGTGCACTGTTTTATGGTGAATGTATTTTCTCATTGGTTTAAATACCCAGGTTTACACAAGGAAAAGTTTATTCTCCCCTAACTAAAAGCAGCAGTAATTGAAAGAATTTGATAGATTGTAGTAAATGTTCCAGTTTAATTGATACAAAGATTTAAGCGGTCATTATATATTGAATATTCAAATTCTGGTAATATATATATAACCAAATCTATGTTAATCTATTAAGATACAGAGAAACTAAGCCATAAAGTCCTGTTAGCCTGGATACGGTTTACAGCACAGCGGAGAGAGGAGAGAAGAAGAACCAGAACTGCTGTCAACTATCACAACACTCGTTGTTTAGGGTAAATATTTTGGTTACAGTTCAGAAACTGTTATAAATATTCTCTAATTGTATATATATCAGTAATTTCACAGAGACAGGCATCAGATTATTACACAAAAAGTTCACAGCTGGTGGAGAGTCATATAGATATGGGAATCCAGCTCCTCTCAAGTTTCAACAAAATCTCTTCCAAACTTAGCAGGAATAACTATCATAACTATGCATAGATGTATATTATTACTGTTAATAGTTGGACAATATGCCTGGTAAAATGCTATTCCAAAAGTCTTTTATTCCTTAAGAAATCAAATTGTAACTCTTGTTTTCCTGTAAACCAGTATCATACTTTTACTATTAGATTCATGTATTTTAGCTTTTATGGTGCTCAGAATAATAGGTTCTTGTGAGTTAGTTTTGTGACAGTCCCGATTCTTTTACAATAACAGACAGGCCTGGCTTCAATGGAAGAATCAGCTCTTACTTGTACAGGAAAGAGCTGACATGGAAACTACAGCACTGCAATTCTGGGCTTATCGCCTCCAAGCACAGGTATTTATACTAATATCTAATATCTTTGGACAAGAAACTTCATCTGGATGGCATAAAATGGGCCTCTTGTACCTTGTTCAGTAAGGGAACAGCCAGCTTCTACACGAGAAATTTGCCTTATAACCACCTTGGCAATTGCATTTACTCCCCTCCCAGCATGCTATCCCACAAAGTATTTTCCGAATTAAAAGCTGCACCATTTTTCCTAGTGAGTCGGATGGGCAGCTTATATACAGTTGTGGCTTATATGTGGATGGAAATAGAAATCGGCTGGAAAAAACACAAAAAAAGCAGGAAACGTACCAGTGCAACAGTACTAGACAGTACTTGGTTTTATTTACAAGTACCTGCTGCTCATGTTTGCAACTGAAACAGATTGTCTAGAACTGTTGTTTGCAATCACATACAGGATGATTTGAAGAGTGAAATTAAAATAACATTCTGGTGGATTTAATTAATCATACATTTCAATATAAATCACAATAATATCATCTGAACTTTTGTGGTTATTGCAAAGCCATTGAGAAAAATAACAATAGCTTTTTGCATCCTGATCAAATTCTAGAACAACCACCATGCTTGTTAACAATATGAATGGCTTCATGTTATTTTCAAGAAGAAATAATATAGGACTATTAAGAATTTGGTGAGCATGCAATGGCCTTTGTTAATATTTAACAATACAGACACTGATGAAGAGATTGTTTAGTTAACTGTACGTAATGTCAGGCCCTATATCTGTGCTAGACAATCTGTGAAGGTACCAAAGCCAAATGATTGCAATATTTGCTAGTTTGTATTTTTTGAAAAACCTCAATAAAGTTAACGATTATCTGTGTATAATTCATTTGCAAACTATATTAAATGTTTCACTGACAATCTGGATAAAATGCCCTCCCTTGTCTGTTGTATCAATGAACTTTGGTCAATGTAATGGTTGCCATTTCATAAAAAAACTGCCTTCCGTTATCTGTTATTGGTTTATCAAACGTTAGCAATAGTGGTCACCATGTGGTAAGAAGGGTGCAGCTTATATGTGGATCAATTTGGGAACAAGTTGCTGAAAACTAGCTCTTTATATACTGGCGTGGCTTATAACCAGGAAAACGTAGTACAAACTTATAATGATCACTGTGGGTCAAGGTCGTGAGTTTTTTGTTATACACAGACATAATGTGTCTTGTGTTTGGGCATATATATTCTGATTTGACCAGGAATTGAGATTTGAAAAAATAATATTTTATTACATAATTTCACAGTTTATTTAATATTTTTCTGAAATTCTTTCAGTTAGAGAAAAAGTATAGAATTCATTCTCGATGGAAATCATGATTTTGATTATAATTTCATTTTTTCCCCCCAATTTTCAATTTTAAGTGAACTTTAGAACTCGACTATAGGTACAAGCTGTATTGTAGTGAATTATATTCAGTCACTGCTTTCTCTGATTTACCACTTTTTAATTGTTGGCAATATTTACTCTTGGCAGTTTTGGCAGATCTGGCGAAGAAAGTTAGAAGCACTACAGGAAAGAGAGGCAAAATTTAATCTAGCTGTGAGATTTCACAGATACACCCTGAAAAAGAAATTACTCATGGGTTGGGTGAAGTACTGGCTTAGCAGGAAAGAGACAGGGAAAGAAAAAGGTAACCTTGATTTTATCATTTTATTAATGTAATTTTTGTTTTTCCATGATAAAGGTTTTCATTGTTTGATCTCTGTGAAATGTTTGCAAGTACCTTGCAAGTTTCTTTATAAAGAAATATTTTGAAATATTTGAACATTGTGATATTTTTAATAACTGCATTTTGTTTTAGAAATGGCTCAAAATACATATACTTGTGATAGTAACTGATTTAGACTTTGTTACAAAGATACATCTTATTTGACAAGGTGGATGGTTTCTTTGTACGGGATATAAAATGTTTAGTAAGAAGGACATTTTAAAGACGTTTCGTCATAGTAGGTAGAGCCTTTATGTGACCTTGAATACAAAAAAAACTAATGTTGCCACAAAACTGATACATTTAGATACCAATAACTTTGGTAATACTTTCTTTAAGGGTATGCTGTTTTGCTGTACCAGCGACATCTGAAACGCTGGATGTTCAATATGTGGGTTCGACGCTACAATATGAGCCAGTCAATCAAGGCACACCAAGAGTATATGGTTATACTTGGACAACAGTTTCAGGTCCGCAGGGCATTTGTACGCTGGAAATCATGTATCCTTTAAAGCTTATTCATTCAGGTAGATCAGATTTGAAATATTTTTGGATCATAAATCTTCTGTCAAAATTGCAAGAAGGTAAATACTGTCATTCAATTTTACAGTGTATTTCTTTAAAAGCATTCTTGAATTCTTCATAAACATAGAAAGTTGTGCAGATATCTGCATGATATGATGGGAATATGATTTGTTTATCCTTAATTTGATAAAAAGATGTTGATGGGATTCACAGAGAAAGACATGCTCACCAGATGGCAGCACAGCATTATATTCAGAGATTACTGGTAAGTTTTCCTCTTGTCTGACCATATTATGTTTTTCTGTTTTATCTTGATATAGGAGAGATTTAAAACCAAAACTATATATATTACCTGTATATTTACCTGTTTAGAATATTACACCTGTCTGTGGTGTGATTTGATGAAGAATGATAAAGATTTTCATGGTGGTTTTATCATGTCATAGTAATAATAACAGCAAATTATAGAGAATTTATGTTTAGCAAAATGAATTAAGATTTCAAAAAGAAACCTAAGTATCATTAAGTAAATGATTGATGTTATGTGTGTGCCTTCAGTGATTCAGAGAAACCATTTAGGGCACCATTGGTGTATTTCTAACATAATATTTTAAACATCAGACAAAAAAATCATATGTTGCCTTTTTTGTTTCACAGAATTTTGGTCTCTCCTCTCTTAAACTGAATGTTATCCAACAGAGGGTGAAGCGGACCAGAAATGAAGTGGCTCTTCAGCAGCGAGATAAAATGGTTTGTTTATACGCAAGCATCATTCAAAATCTGTTGTTACAATAGGACACTGTTATTTTATTATCTCCCTTTATCTGTGATCTGGTTCACAAAAAACTTACTCAGAATTACTGTATACAAAATGTACTGAATGTAACTGGCATAACTATATATCTATGGATGGCTATGTTACTGTCTATGTATTTATTTTAGCAGTATTCAATGATAATTTTTGCTTCTTCGAGTCAATGTGTACTTATGTGTACTTATTTTAGCATTATTCTAGTAGTAATATTTGCTCCTTTGAGTCAATGTGTATTTATTTTAGCAGTATTTTAATAGTAGTATTTGCCCCATTGAGTCAATGTTTAGTTATTTTAGCAGTATTCTAATAGTAATATTTGCTCCTTAGAGTCATTGTGTTTATTCAGCAGTGAAATTCTTCTTCCTGTTATTGGGTATCATTACATATATGACAAAAAATTTCAGTGTTTTAATTTTTATGAGAAAACAACTCCATGATAGTTTACCTGTGCATGGTCACTGTTAAAAGACACCAGGAAAACTATAGGGGTTATCAGAAAAATATGTTACCTGTTATTTGTGGTCTTAAAGCTTGTTTGGTTTCTTTGTAGAGGGCATTCTCTGACTGTTTACTAACAATTTATGAAGGATTTGACAGAACTGATTTTGAATAGCACCTCTTTATCATTTATGATTAAAGGTTTAAGATATCTCAGTCCTGTTTTAGAATTTTAGGTCACCTGAGATGAAGTTTTAAGTGACCTATTACGATTGTCTTTTGTCTGGCATTATGCATTGTCCATCATAAACAATTTACATTTTTCGATTTCCTCTCAATAGCCAAAAGGACCAGGGTCATGGTATTGGGTCAGTAGCATGCTGGGATGAAGGGCTATCATGTTTGTTCAAATGAATGACATTGACCTTTATTCACAAAGTCACAGGGGTCAAATATTCTAAACTACAACAACAGACAGTGCTATCAGTTCTGTTTAATAGAAAATTAAGCCTTTAAAACTTAAACTTAGAAACAATAAAAACTTTGAAAGTATGTATGTATCAGTTCTGTTCTGTCTGCCTAATTTTGGGACTACTGGACAGGTTCTGAAACTATTGAAAGACCTGAAGACATCAGGTGACCCTTAGGGCCCATGGGCTTCTTGTTGAAGCTCATTGTTAATGAAATGATGTAAATGACACAGATTTTCTCTCAATACTCCAGTTTTCTTCCACAGATAGACCCTTCCAACTCTTATGTCTGGGCAAACAAGAGGGATAAATATTATAAACTAGTAGCTTGTTTTGCAATTGTTGTAAAATAGATAGTTTATAGAAATGATGTAAGCTACTTTCACTATTTACAGCTACTCAAAACACATTGGGAAAGGTGGATGACTCAGTGTGAGAACAATGAAGAACTAGAACTAATTCCTCTAACTAGGAAAGCTATCTACCACTACAGGTAAGTCTTAGTGTAAATCTGTGTCACACAGAAGCTTAAGACATTTTGCTGTGTATTGAACTTTTTTATTGCCCTGAGATTGAAGATCTTGGCATATTGTTTTTGGTCTGACTGTCAGTTTATATGTGTGTCAATTTGTCTGCACTCAAGTTTGACTGATATCTTTGCAATGTTCAGTGATAAGGTCAACCGAAACTATTTTGATGACCTTGACCCTTGACCATTTGACGTGATTATTAATTTTAGGATTTCCATCAAATAACTTGAGATTTCTTCATTAGAATTGACCCATGTGAAAACCAGAAGGTTTAAGCTTCAGGCTTCAGTATGATAAACGTAATATGTAACATAATCAACATCAGATTTGGGAACATTTTAAATGAAAAAACAAAGTCCTCATCTTTTCTTTAATTCAATGCTCCCAATCTTGCCCAAAGTGAGTTTTCTTAAAACTGTCTCATAAACCTCTTTAAGTAACGTATTAGTGTTCTAACAATATTTCAGTAAAATTACATTTGTTAACCTGTATATTATTTAGACAAGTGTTGCTGTCTAAAGTCTGGCAGGGCCTGGAGATGTATGTACACTGGAGGCTCCACAGGAAGGTATGGTTATGTAGGAGGACTGTAAAAAAATAATAATCACCTTCTCATGTAGAAGTCGGTACTTAAGGGTAAAACAAGGATAAGTTCGGGGTTTAGGTAGTTAAGGATAAAACAAGGATAAGTTCGGGGTTTAGGTAGTTGAGGATAAAACAAGGATAAGTTTGGGGTTTAGGTAGTTAAGGATAAAACAAGGATAAGTTCGGGGTTTAGGTAGTTAAGGATAAAGCAAGGATAAGTTCGGGGTTTAGGTAGTTAAGGATAAAACAAGGATAAGTTCGGGGTTTAGGTAGTTAAGGATAAAACAAGGATAAGTTCGGGGTTTAGGTAGTTAAGGATAAAACAAGGATAAGTTCGGGGTTTAGGTAGTTAAGGATAAAACAAGGATAAGTTCGGGGTTTAGGTAGTTAAGGATAAAACAAGGATAAGTTTGGGGTTTCAGTATTGATTTACTGGTTACTTTCTGAATCATGAAGAAGTCACTGATTGGAACAGAAAATTGAGAAACAAAATAAATACAATACATATTCTTTTCTACAGTAATTGCTTCTAAAATTTCTCAAGTTCAAAACCACCCTTTAAGTCTATTGGACGGAAAGTCAATTATTATGAAATGAGCATTAATATGTTCTCACAATTGAGAACTTTTTGTTATTGAAAATACTCGCCATACACAGAGGTAATGAATATTCCAGGAATCTGCTACGTGTATCTAAAATCGATCTGATGATGAATTAACTCATGATAGAAGAGAAAAACACCAGACGTTAAATGGTGACAAAACCATATCTCTGTTGACAGTATAGATGCACAATTCTGCAGTGTTACTCCGTCATTTGTAAATATTATGTTAAGACATGTTTTGTCCTTTCAGGCCCAGTATGCACAAGCAGATGCACACTTCTACTGTCAAGTCATCCCTAAATGTTTAAACAGGATGGTGCTCTTTGTGAAAATAGTGAAACTCCAGAGAGAGAACCGACAATATGCAGTAGAATTTCGCAGGTACTGTCTGCAGAAGGATGTTGGTGTTGTGCAGTGTATTTTTGTTTTATAGTCTACAGTGTATGTAATTTACCATAGTGTTTATAGTTTCATCTGTATCTGTTAACTTTCTTCAATCATGCATAGTACTGTATCTTCAATAAAAATATAATCATCTTGGTTGAAAGCTTTTATATTGAATGTTAAAAATATGCATTTTTGGCTGTTTTAAGTTTTGAACAATAAAGAAAATTCTTAATAATTGTATTTCAAACACATTATTTTGATAATGGAACAACTGTTCTTTATGTTATCAAGCATTATTTTGTTTTAAAATTGTCCAAAATGACAACTGGAAAGAACTATTTATAGAAGTCCTGTTAAATTTTTACTTGACATGGCATTGGACCCGAAAGAAAAAGTCAAAATCTTTATTTTTTATCTTCATCGCCTTAATTTCCTCCATCAGTTTCTCTTAAACAGATATTTGTTTCAACTTTAATTATCTTACCAAATTTGGCATGTACATTTTAGAATGTCAGATGAAAACAAGGTTACTGTTACCTCTGACCCAAGATGGAAAACTGTTTTTATTTCTAGGAAAGATGTTCTGCAATAGTTTACTAGCTTAGAGTTACTTAATTTAGTGTTATTGATATTGTTTGTGCTAATTATAATGTTCCCAATGAGTTGAAATATAATGAGTATAAACAATATCAATTAGTAACTAACCTGCTATAACTGTCTGTGTTAATGTTGTAAATGTACATATTTTAGTCATAAAATTGTTGTGTTAGATTAAGATTCTACTAACTGCAGTTTCTGTTTGTTTTTTATCTTACAATTATTGTAGAATTTTGACTACTTCACAAAAAGTGTTGATGTGCTTAAATTTGATTATACCAAAATAAGTATGTATATAGTTTATCAGTTTTATCAGTTCCTTTTGTTGTCTGTCTCCTGTGATATTGCTGTTACATATCCTAAATCTCAATACCTTCATGTGTTTTCTATTTTACTTCTGTTAGAGAAAATCTTCAGGCGCGATTTTTCTACCAGTGGCACAAGTCGTATCTCCAGAGTTCTGACAACAGAATGAACCAAAGAATGGTAAATATGAATACCTCAGTTGTTATCAAACTTTATTATAATAGTTAATATCTTAAAACAATAAAAAGATAAATATTTCTCAAGTAATAATCAACCAGGAAAGAAAAATCTCCATTTGGAGAAATTCCCAAGTAACTAACATCCTGTTAAGTTTTTATGTATGTTGAGATTCCTCTTCTAGTCTTCAGTCTTTCTTGATAACATAAAAAAAGTTTTGTTCTATACTGTATGAATATTTCAGTTTTGATAAAATACAGAGTTTAAACTTTGCTGTATAACTAAATATGACATATCTTTAGGCTATTCTGCATTACGATGAATGTGTCAAGAAACGCTTCCTGGCTTGTTGGAGAGTGAAACTGGTTGAAGCTCAACAAGAAAATGAAAAACTGGTGAGATCTGAAATTCTGATATCTGCACTTTGATGAAAAAATGTATAAATAAAAGATTTTGATATTTATATATTTTTTTTATGCTTTTAATATTTGACACCTGTTAAAGGTTTTATTATCAAAGTCTTGTTTTTACACCCTGTGCTTATTGTTTTTGATGGAGTATTTTATAGAAACAAAAAAGGTACTATCTAGTTCAGGTTAGTTTTGAAAATGATAATTAAATAACAGGTGTACCAATATGATAATCAAGGGAGGATTTGTTTAACAGTGACTATCAGAGGAAGTCCTTCAATTTAAGCAGTACCATAGACAAGAAAACTGAATAATTTCCAGTCCTGACTCAGATATTTGATTTTTTCAGGAATTTGCCTATGATCATTACAGTACCAACTTGAGAGAGAAATGTTTCAGGGGATGGAGAGCACACATCAACGACTGCAAACACATGTAAGACTGCCATATTTGTCTAAGTCCACTTACATCAGACTGAAGCCAAATTGTGCACAAAATATTTGATGTTATTATTCTTTAGTAAGTGTGAATTTTGTCCTTTAATATTTTGTAATTATTGATCATCAACACCATGGTTTATCTGAATCAGATAAAGTCACTCCTATTTATGATGGTATTTGTTATTGTTTCAGCAAGAACAATGAAATACATGCTGCCAAACACCATTATATCAAACTTGTGTCCAAAGTTTTTTCAGCCATTAGAAAGGTGAGTTGATTTTTTTTTTGTTGGTATTTGCACGGAACTTCATAAAAATTCATAAAAATGAAGAATATTTAATAATTGTTTTACAGAAAATATGGAAAATAAGTAAAATTACTCTTTATCAGAAAATGTCACAGTAAACTGTTGAATTAAAGCTGACTTGATTATTTCAGTATGCAGTATACCAGAGAGAGAAGTATAGGAAAACATGTCTCGCCGAAGACTTCAGAAAAAAACAAGTTTGTCAAAAAGTCATGGCTTCATGGAAAGGCATGGTCGCTCAGGGGAGACAATTCAGATACAAAGCTGATCAAATGTACCAGGAAAAATCTACATCACTTCTCAGGTAGAGTGACATTATTGGGGGTTAAAATACATTTAGAACTTACTTCAAATCTGTGATGTTTTTATGTATGTTGTTTTTATTGAATCTTAAGAAGGAATAATAAGGTAGATGAGAACGTCAGCTTTTTGTGAACCAATGACAATCTATAGATGATTTAAAGATTTGTGTTGTTTTCCTGTCAGGTACATTATCACCAAATAGTATATGATGTGTTGCTAATTCATTTTATATATTGGCAAAATTAGAAAAGAGATTTTGTCATTTTTGAAGATGAAATATTCAGATATATGTAAATGTACACTTTGAATGTTATATAAAATCTCAGTTCTGTTCTGAATGAATAGATAAACTTATACCAATAAATGGAGACAAAAGATTCAGGAGCTGATACAGACATTTATGTCTTGTCCACTTCCAGACAAGGGCAATAACAATTAATGTTATGGACATTATCTGCCTTTGACCATTCCAATACATTACAAAGACTGCAATATCAATGTCTTTATAAGTTGGTTGTGTTTCATTAAAACAAGTCAATATTTCAATTGTTTTCACTATTTGGATTTCCTAAATGAAACCAGTTGGGCCTATTTTACAGAAATGCACTGAAGACTTGGCATGAGAATGTTGAGACTCAAATTCTAGATAAGATTATAAACCAGACTGCAGATTTACACCGCAACAGACGACTTCTGGGAAAGGTAAATATACACCAGTTCTGTTTATTTCATCAGCCATAGAAATATAGAAGTGATTTTAGCATTAATGAGTAATATTTCTTTCATTTACTAAAGGGAATTGTGAGTAAATTTATTTTTCAGCACTCCCAAATTGAATAACACCTGCATTGCTTTTGCAGAAATTTCTTTTTCCTTTCTTTTGTTAAGACCCAGAGAAATCTTGAGCTCGGACAGTGACATTGCTGCACAAAGTGGCTAAGTTAGTGTACTTAAAAAGTGTGTAATCAAGGAAAGATAATTCTGTTTTGTAGTATTGAATGATGACATATTTATCGTTAGGTGCTGACTACTTGGCATAGATATGCTGCAATACATGCTTACAAGAAGTCGGAGACCAGACATTGGGTGGAGGCAACACAGGAGGTGCTGAATAGGAGTCAGTATTCTGTCGCATTATATCCACTGTATACTTATTCTGTCTTATATTCAGCAGATCCTTTATGCCTTTTGAAATTTTCATCCCAATATGAATTTGTTAATTACATATATATATCAGAATGTTTAAATTCTGAGTGTCCAGTACATATGCAGAAATCTAATTTAATTTGTGACACGTCCAACTTTGTATGAAATTTGATATGAAAGCACTTACACTTAACTAATCTAATTTCATCATTATTCTGCTTGTCAAAATTGTTCTGAATTACCAAAGATTTCTTTCTAACCCTGCTTTGAATAATTAATTTTTTTTATTAAAGTTAGTTCAGTTGAAAAATAAAATGAAAGTTAAACCAATGGACAGTGAAAACTGCCTAATGGTATGTGTCATTTGTTAGAGGAAAATATTGTTAACTGATCTTGACCCTTTGGGTCAGATGACCTATAGCCATCGTGCTTCGTCCGTCGTCGTCTGCCGTGCCCGTCCGCCGTGCATAAACTTTTCATTCAAACAACTTCTTCTCAAATACTAGAAGGTCTAGGGGGCTAATACTTGGCACAGAGGATACTGGCATGGAGCTCTACCAAGTTTGTTCAAATGAATGACCTCAACCCATTTTAAAGGTCACAGGGGTCAAATATGTTAAAATCTTTAAACAACTTCTTCTCATTAACCAAAAGGCTCAGAGTGTAGATATTGGGCCTGTGACATGCTGGGATGAAGTGCTACTAAGTTTGTTCAAGTGAACGACTTGACCCACGTTCAAGGTCACAGGGGCCAAATATGTTAAAATCTTTAAACGACTTCTCCTCAATAACCAAAAGGCTCAGATTGCTGATATTGTGCCTGTGGCATACTGGGATGAAAGGCTATCAAGTTTGTTCAAATGAATGACCTTGAACAACTTTCAAGGTCACAGGGGTCAAATATGTTAAAATCTTTAAATAACTTCTTCTCAAATACTGGAAGGCCTAGGGGGCCAATACTTGGCCCATAGCATGCTGGCATGGAGCCCTGCAAAGTTTGTTCAAATGAATGACCTTGGCCCACTTTCAAGGTCACAGGGGTCAAATATGTTAAAATATACAAAGGACTTCATCTCAATAAGCAAAAGTCTATGAGTGCCGATATTGGGTCTGTAGCATGCTGGGAGGAAAGGCTACCAAGTTTATTCAAATGAATGACCTCGACCCACTTTCAAGGTCACAGGGGTCAAATATGTTAAAATATACAAACGACTTCTTCTCAACCAGCAAAAGTCCATGAGTGCTGATATTGGGCCTGTAAGATGCTTGGAGGAGAGGCTACCAAGTTTGTTCAAATGAATGACCTCAACCCACTTTCTAGGTTTGGCTTGCTTTTTGTCAGATGACCGTTAAGGCCCATGGGCCTCTTGTAAATGTATAGAAAAGAATGACTATGTATAAAAATTGATTAGGACTTCATTTGTATATCTGTACAGATAAACTTCAGCGATACTTTGGCCAATGGCGACTTGCCAGGGAGAGGTCACTTCTTTACCAGCTACGACAGGCCCAAGCTGAACAACATCACAAACGTTACATACTACAGCAGATGTTTAAAGCCTGGGAAACATTCACAGAGCAGTCTCGCTCGAAAAAGGTACAAGAACAATGTCTATGGTGTTTATATAATATATATGATATTATAAAGAAAGAACCAAATATAATATTTTTGGAGAAGTAGATTTTTCTTTTAAGTATAATGATTACAAATAATAACATATGGTATGAAATAAAGATATATATTGAGGAGTCAAACTCAGTGTCTTTTGGATCATGTGATGTATCAGGCTATTCTTGGTACTCATTCTAACATTTTTTTTTATAATTTCTCACTTGATTTCAGTTGCTGATGAAGCAGTGTACATGGTTCAACAACAAGCGACTGATGATCTGCTTCTTTGCTAAATGGAAGTCCCAGTATTACCTGGCTGAGGAGGAACACAGGAAGTCTGGATTAGCATTATGGCATTGGAGCCTCGTGGTACAGAGAAAGGTAGGAAATAATTCATCACCAAATCACATTCTACAAACAAAAAACAAAGAAGGAATATAAGCTTCAACTACATATTTATTTATCATCAACATTACAGGGCTGATGGGCTATAACAGATGTGGCACTAGACTTCAGTTACACCAAGTAGATAGATAATACATATAATAGCAGAGTAGATGGCTAGGTCTGTATTACTGAAGGGAGTAAACTTGATAAAAGAATTCTTGAGAGACTTACAACTGGTAACTTGGTGTACATGTTGGTAGACACTGGTAACTGGGTATACATGTTGGTAGGCACTAGTAACTTTGTATACATGTTGGTAGACACTGGTAACTGGGTATACATGTCGGTAGGCATTAGTAACTTTGTATACATGTTGGTAGACACTGGTAACTGGGTATACATGTCGGTAGGCACTAGTAACTTTGTATACATGTCGGTAGGCACTGATAACTTGGTATACATGTTGGTAGACACTGATAACTTGGTATACTTGTTGGTAGACACTGGTAACTTGGTATACTTGTTGGAAGACACTGATAACTTTGTATACATGTTGGTAGGCACTAGTAACTTTGTATACATGTTGGTAGGCACTGGTAACGTGGTATACATGTTGGTAGACACTGATAACTTGGTATACATGTTGGTAGACACTGGTAACTGGGTATACATGTTGGTAGGCTCTAGTAACTTTGTATACATGTTGGTAGGCACTAGTAACTTGGTATACATGTTGGTAGGACTGATAACTTGGTATACTTGTTGGTAGACACTGATAACTTGGTATACATGTCAGTAGGCACTAGTAACTTGGTATACATGTTGGTAGACACTGGTAACTTGGTATACATGTTGGTAGGCACTAGTAACTTGGTATACATGTTGGTAGGACTGATAACTTGGTATACATGTTGGTAGACACTGATAACTTGGTATACATGTTGGTAGACTCTGTTAATTTGGTATACATGTTAGTAGACACTGGTAACTTGGTATACATGTTGGTAGGACTGATAACTTGGTATACATGTTGGTAGACACTGATAACTTGGTATACATGTTGGTAGACACTGATAACTTGGTATACATGTTGGTAGACTCTGTTAATTTGGTATACATGTTAGTAGGCACTGATAACTTGGTATACATGTTGGTAGGCATTGGTAACTTGGTATATGGAAACTCAGAATAAGAAGCGGAAGAAACAGCGACTCTTAGAGGCACTGGAGAGAAGAAGGAATCGTTTACTGCGACAAGGAGTTGTTCAGTGGCTGACCATGTCTTCTGATCTAACTGAGATGAGAGCCAAGTTTGCTGCACAACAACATGCAAAGGTTAGATTTATCACATTGTTTTTACAAAAGGAGTATTTAGAGACAGTTAATCATGAATATTTGAATAATTATGTAAATATATTAACAATCTAGTAATTTCAGAGTGGAAGGGAAATCTCATTTTGACTGGGGTAAATTGATGATTGTTGGAAAAATCTTTTCAATTGATACATGTATGAAGTGAAAGCAATTAGTTTAAGGAAAAAAAATTTCTAATTAGGACGTCAGGTGTTTGAGAAACCCTCTTGATATACATTAAATCCTGATGGAATGATATTGATCTTGCAGAATGCTTTTGTGAAACATCAGCTTGTCCAGAGATGTGCACTGCACTGGCGACACTGGACAGCAAAGAGGAAGTTACAAAGGGGAGATAACTGTAAAGTTTCTGTCAAACAGCCTATAGCTCCTCTGTCCTCGCACAGCAATGTTTTCTATCTTAAGGTCTCAGATCTTCCGGGCAGGAAGCAAACAGCAGCTTCAGAGGTAAGAATACCTCAGCCTGTTTTTTCTGCATCGCCTTCTAAAGGAGGAACAAGTAGTACTACATCTGGGCTGGAATTACCAATACCAGACCTGAGGTAAGTGTTCAAGTTAACACTGCTATATTGATATACTTATACATGACTTTATGGGTCTTCTAATGGAAAGGAAGGAATTTCCATTGTATCTGAAAATAATTCTGTAAATGTCATTGGTGATAATATAGTCATCAGATTTTCTTTGCTGTTTACACAACTCAATCTAAACTTTGTCAGACAGGTTTATGAAATGAGTCATTTCTAGATCTGAGATCTTTTGATTATATCCATTTGTCAAAGTATCGGCCAGTACCTGTAGATGTTCAATTGTTCACTCATGTTCATTTCACCTTCTTATTCAATATCCTAAATAAAATGGTGATTAAAACTTCTTTTTTCAATGATTATATATTTTGTTCTTGTCTGCCCTCCCGACAGGTTACAAGCCCGGAGAAAGCCCCGTCATCCAGCATTTTTGGTGGACTCTTTAAAAAGAGCAGGACTGAATGTTGAAGAGCAGAATATAACGTAAGAGTTCAGACATATTAGAAATAACTATTAGGCTTTTTTAACATGAAATTTCTTACAAGAAGTATTAGAAAAACATTAGATAAACTACAGAGAAAAGTGCTGGAAATTGATCAATTGTATATACCTGTTGTTGTAAACAAGAGTTCATTACATTACAAGAAATTGTTGAAGAGATGAATTCCAACTTTGAAATGTTGAACTTTGAAATCTTAAATGTTACATTGGTCTGTTGTCCATGATTCAGTACATGTTATTAAATGTATTGGCCACTGTTTCAACAGATAAATAATTAATAGATTATTTACATGGATTTGTTTCAGAAGTGACACACTTCCTAGTTATCCTACATCTCCTTTACGGACTGAAGACACGCATAGTAAGGAGGCAACACAAACAGAAAAACTTCTTTGTGAAAGCATGCCATCTCCTCATATGCCAGAATCTGATATTATATCACCTTTGAAGACTAATGTTTATTTTGTTGGGGATTTAGATAAAGATTCTATGCCAATGAATAAGAATGAATTATTATTACAAACGCCAAAGCTAGTATCCAGGCAACCAAACACTGAAGAGACTCAAGTTTTTATGCCTTTCTCTATGAGTGATCAAACAACTTCAAATAAAGTCTTGAAGCATATGCCAAAACTGGAGGTTTTAGAGAAAAGCAATGAAGACAGAACAGTAGAACCTCATGTTCTGAAGTCAGAACTTCGACTTCTTACCCCTGCGGATTTCATGACTCAGGGAAGTTGTGATGGTGACACAAACGCTTCACACTTAACAACACCACGGTCTGTCAGTTCTGATTGGAGTAACACAGAAAGGCCATATTCAAATGAATCTGCAGATAAACAAATTATTGAGATCAGAAACCACCTCAAAGAGTTTGAGAGAAAGAAGAAAAAACTCAGGTACAATTTCACATTAAACATGAAAGCAATCCTGTATTTACATGTTATATTAATTGGCATATTTCAGCTCATTTTTTAACTTTGTTTAATGAACCACATGTTTATTCTTCCATTGAGCTGAAGAGACTACTGTAAAATTATTAATTTTCTGAGGAGGATCTGAGGAGGATCTCTCTATTGATTTCTTGAGCACTCTTGAATCAAAAATTCAAATTTCCACAAAGTTCCATGATCATTAATTAGATCAAGTTTACTTAATTTTATTGTAAACATTCAAGAAATAATCAGATCAATTATAGATAATTTTTTTTTAAATTGCATTCATTTGTCTAGTTTATTTTATTTTACAGAAAATTACAGAAACAACATCAGCATTTGAAAGATTGGATGCAGCTTGAAGAGGGTAAAAGTCAACCAGATATTGAAGTCGACCAGGTCAGGATTGAGGTTGAACAGGTAGGGTAACATTTCTGTAAATAATAAAGTTGATAAAATGATGAAAAAATCCTGAAATTTTACATTAAAGAACATTGCTTTATGTATTTGTCAAAGGTCACCTCTTCTGACAGATACAGAGGATTACTCTCAAGCACTTACCAAGTTGTCATTGATCTTGTATTTCAAGCAAGTTTGCAGATCCATTATTAGGCATCATTAGACCTCTTTGTCTAGCTTTACTGACAGGTTTAGTTTTCATTTAGCCTCATTGCTATAGCCATGTTTCAAAGAAAAGCAGAAAACTTCACACAAAGTTTTCTGTCTGTGGATTACTATTACTTTGAATGCAGGTCACTGTGATCTAATTTTTCAGCTTAAACACCTTTTCCATGATAGATTTTGATTTCCAGTTAAGATCTTACATATATGTTTTAATATGTTACAGATGGAAGTTGAACTTCAGACATTGCGGAACTCTGTAGAAGAAGAGAAACCACATTGTGCCAAGCTTGTCAAAATTGTCACCCGTCTTGTGCAGGATCTCCATAACATAGACTAAAGAATGAAACCATTGTTATAATATGTTAGAGATAAATGTTTGAGAAACATACAGTACTACTGATTGATTTTAACTTTCCTTCATACTTATCTAGTACAATTCATTGTAAGATGTTCACCTAAGAATCTCTGATCCAGATTTTTATGGAAATATACCTTTTTATCTCCACAAGTTCTATTTTAAACCTTCCATGCAAAATCCTCATCAGAACCTCTTGATTCCATAAAATTTGTGAGATCCCAGCAAAATGTGCATATCACACTACTTACATTTAAAAAACAATCAATGTTTTTTTCCCCTCAAAAATTGGAACATGACCGATCAGAAAAAAAAACTTACAAGAAATGAAGTTGGTATTTGGTAAAAGTTTCATCAGTTTACTGTGTACTGACTTTTGCATTTGAAATTGAAAAATAAAACAAAATAAATATATATTTATATACATATTTATTGAGGAAAGAACAAAGAGGAATGAAATTTGTCTCATTTTGTACCTAAAACTAAGAAATTGAATATTATCAACACGCATATATTGACCAGATGCAGCTGTGCAAATTTGTGTTAAAGCTGCTGACTGCAAAAAATTTGTAAAAACAACAGACACAAAGAAAAATTGTTTTGGAAGGACTTAAGGTGAAAAGTTTGGAATATCAAATACTTAAGATCAATTGAAGGGAGATTTTGATGTATGACAAGAAGGTTAAAAGGTAACAGACATTCTACAATAAGTAAGATTTGGTGTTACAACATTTCATCAATTTAATTAGTGATATGATGGTATAGATCAAACACTCTGAGTGGTGTGATAATTCCTTGTCTCACTTTAGGGATGAGGTTAGGGGATTCCACTTTTATAGCTATGATATGACATCAATGATGTGGACAACAGAAACATATTTAGGAGGCTAGGAGGATAATAGAAAAATGATATTGTTGTGCATGTGCATCAGTTATGCAGATTGTATTGTTTATCGAGATTTCCATCATTGTTCTCTTTTAAAAGAAAAGTAGGCTGAAGAGCTAGGCAGGAGAGAGATTTTCATTTGATTGTAAACTCATGTTATTATCAGGCCACACCTGTTTGTTATTGAAAGAAGTCAGAATGATTATTATTAGGAAGAATATTATGAAACATTAAATGTACACGAGTTACATCAAGTAGTTAGTGTTATAGGTAGAAAGTCCCTGATATTGTAAACTATTTATTATGTATAGAATTATATTTATTACTTTTATATGTAAAATAAACTTGAGAAGAAAACCTTATCGTGTTTGTTATTTTTGATCTCCCCCAGACCTCCCTGTAAAGAATTCAGAATCTCTTGGACTATTTCAGCATTATTTGGAGCCTGTCAAACTGATTCCTGATGGTCTTCAACAATGTCTTCTGTATTTTGAGAATAAAATTAAAAAAAAAAAAAAAACCTAAAGATCATACTATGGTTGGTTCCTTGTCCATTGTTTGCATCTCTTGTATGTTAGGGTTGAAAATACAACTTTGGTTCAGTGTCCTGAAGTGTTTTAATAACCTGATACAAACCATTTATATATGTTTAGGAATGCAAGATTTCATGAGTAACAGATCTTAAACATATGTATTTACAAATAATATTGATAGAACTAACTTATTTATTTCAGCAAAGTTCATGCTTATTTGTTTATATAGTAGAAATATTATGATAAAATCTCAGCATTTCATTGGTATTGTACTAAAACCCTGCATATAGCTTATTATACCAGAAAGTTTTTCAAAGGATAATTATCATAGATATGTTTTTAATGATTTAGAATAATGAGTTCTCTATGTAATTTAGAAAAATCAAGCCCATATTTCAACAGGGTAATTATACATGATAGTTTTTTATTAATCAGGTATGTACATTCATTTCCAGGGGATACTTATTTAAGGCTACATCTTGCTTTAAGGTGACATGTAGCCATTTCTAAAGAGTAGGGAACTGAAAGTATATATAAAAAATCTGAATGATGATAATTACAAGTTAATTGTTTGATACAGGAAGATAGAGGACACTTAGAAATTTTATTTAGAATAAAACAGCCCTGTACCTTCTGCCTGGAAATTGTTTCACCCTTTATGTAACAGTAGCTTTATAAGTTTTTGCAGTAGTCCCTGAAATTCAGTCATATTTTGAACACTCTCCACTTGAAGATATTTCATTCATTACTTTGAATCATAGTGAACTGTCCTATGTGTTGCTGTACACTGTTGCTGTTAAATCAGAACAAATATTAAACTAATGAATTGTATGTTACTATACAAGGTTTTGTTGTATATAGACCTGAGACCATGGGTATTGTATCAAGATTTTGTTGTATATAGACCCGAGACCCTGGGTATTGTATTTTACTGTATGTAGACCTGAGACCCTGAGTATTGTATTTTACTCTATACAGACCTGGGACCCTGGGCATTGTATTTTGTTGTATATAGACCTGAGACCCTGGGTATTGTATTTTACTGTATGTGGACCTGAGATCCTGGGTATTGTATTTTACTGTATGTGGACCTGAGACCATGGGTATTGTATTTAACTGTATCTAGACCTGAGACCCTGGGTATTGTATCAAGGTTTTGTTGTATATATACCTGATACCCTGGGTATTGTATCAAGGTTTTGTTGTATATAGACTTGAGACCCTGGGTATTGTATTTTACTGTATGCGGACCTCAGACCCTGGGTATTGTATTTTACTGTATGTAGACCTGAGACCCTGGTATTGTGTTTTACTGTATGTAGAACTGAGACCCTGGGTATACTATTTTACTGTATGTGGACCTGGGACCGTGGGTATTGTGTTTTACTGTATATAGACCTGAGACCCTTGGTATTGTATTTTACTGTATGTAAACCTGAGACCCTGGGTATTGTATTTTACTGTATGTAGACCTGAGACCCTGGGTATTGTATTTTACTGTATGTAGACCTGAGACCCTGGGTATTGTATTTTACTGTATGTAGACCTGAGACCCTGGGTATTTTATTTTACTGTATGTAGACCTGAGACCCTGGGTATTGTATCAATGTTTTGTTGTATATAGACTTGGGACCTTGGGTATTGTATTTTACAGTATGTAGACCTGGGACACTGGGTATTGTATTTTGCTTGATGTAAACCTGAGACCCTGGGTATTGTATTTTGTTGTATGTAGATGTAGACATGAGACACTATAATCGTGTGTAATTGTTGTAGTAGATATACACGGGGCATTGTATCAAAGTTTTGGTTTTTTGTTTTAATTGACACGACGGACATATACTTGTGAACCAATTCTGTGTGTTGCTTTTTAAAACAAAATCTTCACAGTAACCATTGTAATAAAGTCCATAACTTTTGTAATTCTATTCTGTTTCTGTAATGCGATATGATGAATAAAAACTCCCGGGTAAGGTCAGCGTATCACATTCTGGGCTTGAATTCCGTCCGTTCTAAAAGGACCTTCGCGAAATGCAGTCTGTTTTAAATATGCTCCATTAACCAAACTTTTTCAAATTTTTATGTTTCCTTTTACGGAAACTCAATAGAAAAATGTTGAAATCTTGTTTTTAGCAAATGATATATGAATATACATCATATTTGAAATATAAAAAAATGTTCTTTTTGTTGCTATGGTTTCAGAAAGACTGACGTTAGGATGTTAGACTGATTACGTTTGATATTGTTTTTTTTTTTTTTGTCTGTAAAGTTTGGAATCGATAAAAACATAACTGTGTTTCAATGCAGAAAAGAAATTGTAAATATTAGCTTTCACTTTGTATTTTGTATAGGCAAGGCCATTAGTTATCCCCCAATAACCTCACGAAAATGGAAAGTTAATCCCTAATTACACTTCCTAGTCGGTAGGCTATATTTGTTTTAGATCTATCATCAATGTCTCATGACTGATCTGGAAGTTGATAATAAAAGGTAGTATGTTCCTAAGTACAAAAGTCATGAAGAAGTGAAGAATTCTTACTTATATTACATATGTACTTTGAATCGAGATAAACGGACCTTTTATAAAATCTGTACTGTATAGTACACAAATTGAACCGTAAGATCAAAATGCACCGGTATTTCTGAACAAAATGTGTGTATATGTAATACACAGAAATGTTAGCGAGGACAATATGAGGAACACCCACCTGTATGACATACCTTGATGTGCCTGTGTGACTAACACACCTTGATCGTACATTTTTATCACCTGTATCACACCTACCAAATAACACACCCCTACCAAACCCTCTCTGTCTTTCTGAAATATCATTTAACATTATTTTAAAAATAATACCGCTTTTATATTCCCTTCTGCTTTGTTGAACAAGGGATATTTAGAAACATCACGATACCCGTTAAATAAGCATTTCTCAGGACATAATTACACCGTTATAAAACACACTAACTTATAATGTAGAGATAAATTGTGACCTTTGTGTTTGTTCCGGAAGGTCGGTCCCGTCTCCACCGGGGCCAGCTGATTAATCACACGGTAGGTAACAGTGTGTTTTCATTCATTTCTTTATCCAAAAGTCATCGTGAATAAAATCTACAAAGATCAATTCAAGAACAGAATAAATATGAAAATACAATTCAATATTGATAATATTTACCTGGGCTGTTTTCAATCCCGGCTGTTTATTGTTGATACAAAATACAGACTAGTTGTATGGAATCCAGGATGTTTTGTTAGATACTTTGATAAAACGTAATTGGTCAAAATATTTTGTCTTCTCTAAAGATCTCAGTAGACGGCATATGGAACTTACATGTACAGTTATTTCGAATTACATAAGAGATATAAGAGAGTGGAGGAGGGGCGGGGAGAGAGATTAAAGAATACACAGAATGTCCAATAAACATATCATAGATCTGTTACTCTGTTACAAGTTGGAGTTATGTCAACTACGAAGTGGAAGAGGATATATGTTGTAATCTCCTACACCACATTATGTATAACTTTCACAGTTTATCTATCAAAACGTGTACAATTGCCAGAGCAGACCATAAACACCATGAACCTTTAAAAAATGGCAGGTGCATGATAGCATCATTCCATTTTTCGCGGAATTTTTTCCTGACGCGTAAACAAACTGATGATTTGAAATTATGACGTTGATATAATCCTGAAACAATGCCAACTCATTCTTTTATTGTTGACAGTTCCGGTTCGTCGGAATCTGATATTTTTATTAGATTTTCCGATGAGGAAGAAACACGTACCGAGACAACTCTATCCGCGTTCTCTGACAAATAGTACGATCCCGTGAATGTTCCTTCATAGAGTTTTGTGATTACCCATACATCAAGATCCACTTACTTAACATCTTTGTCAGCCTGCCCCCCCCCCATAAAAAAACGAAGAAAAAAATAGATAAATATCTCGCTAACCACGCCCAGTGGAATAAACAAATCGATGGAATGATTGTAAAAAAAAATAAGTATGTTATTGACATATACAGTCAATTGTAATGAGCATGTTAAACTTTTATTTTGTTAGCATTGTCCCAATTTATTTTAGTTCTGTTTTAGTTTGGGTTTTTTTTTTTTCGTTTTTTTTAAATTCTTCTTAAACCGAAAACGCTCGCAAGTATGAAACACAACTTTTTATTCACTTCATCTGTAGTGGATGAGTGCGCCTGTTCGTCAAATTTTCTGTTTAAAATGCTACTTATTCACATCGAGGTCGTTGTCATTATAGGGTGAACGAGATGCAGGATATTGTGAATCTCTGTATGTCCAGGACGCATAGAGAAACTAGAACTGCAGAACTTG